ATTCCTTGCGGGTGGGTGCAACTTTTGTAGAGTTGTCGGGTAATCCAGTACATGAACACGTTCGCCCAGTCCTTTGTGCCCAGACAGAGTAGTGTTAACAAGCTTGACCCATATCTCCGACGCCTATTGTCGAACATACATCAAGGATAAGAATATATATGCACAGTTGATCAGCCCTCATAAGAGCGAAACTCGAGCCCGGCACTTCCCTGCTTTGATGTTTGACCACAATCATTACCCCGGACAGAAAGAGGACTTTTCCAAGGAGGTCTGTGTGAATACGCATTTCTCGAATACCGCAACTATCTACAACTAACCTTAGCTCGCCCCTTATGCCGGTGAACAAGTATTCACTACTGCGACAGACCTCTATTCGGGGCTTCTAACAGACACCTTTTCAAGGACAAAAATACTGCCACACATGCACTGTTTTCGGCGCATCTATGCACCTAGGAAACTTTTGCTCAGACGTCTGGGTTGTGTGGTCAGAATAATGACCCAGTTCCATGTTTCTGCGTACTTATCTTCAGGCTCCATAATCATCAGAGAAAGGCGTAATTGATTCAAGTCCGAACAGGAGACTTTGCGATACTGCACTGGTTAGATTAAATTTCGTTAAGCATTGTATCTTCACAAGTTACTTGGTACGGTTCACTGGTAATCCATTTATTTGCGACGTCCTAAAGTGGAAAAGGACGGCCAGTCGTGACGAACAAAAGTGAACTGGCATAGCCCTGGGTTAAACCAAAATTATGATCAAAAGTAAAGATGGACGAGTGAGAGTCCGTCGGATCTTTGAGGTCACGTGCTCCCACTGGTTTGTCAAGGTCCAGGGAAGGATGACCGTCCGGATTCTGGGTCCTCTGACTCTAGGCCGTGGGTTCAAGCTTCTCCGTTTATACGAAGAATCAACCTATCCAAGCATCTTTGAGGTCACGTGCTCCCACTGGTTTGTCAAGGTCCAGGGAAGGATGACCGTCCGGATTCTGGGTCCTCTGACTCTAGGCCGTGGGTTCAAGCTTCTCCGTTTATACGAAGAATCAACCTATCCAAGCCACTGACCAAACAAAAGATGGCCACAAAACAATCGTATTTATAAGCAACACTAAACCAAGAAGTCGAATGTCCACTCACCTGTACCCTTGACCAAATGCACAGTCAAAGCTGATAGGATGAAAGTCTCAGATTGAATTCCCAAAAACTTATTTTTCCCACACTCTGACACAGATTTTTTCGCTAACTTTGAGCCCTATTTGTACTATCTTGGTGGTTGGAATTCATTAAACTGATATTTAAAAAAACCTTAGCGACTTGTCTTTCAAACAAATCATTCCACACTGATACTAGCAAACGTGTGTCATTCTGAGGTGCGCAACGCTTCTGGCTTGCACTGGTTTTCCGAACCACACTCACATATAAGGCCTGTTTGACTTTATCCCTCAACAGATTGCCTCGGAAACACCTCAGCTTCCCACACATCTGCAAACAGCCATGTTCCCAAGCAAATCTGTCGTAAGTTTTTCGCCATCCGCTTTCTTCTGTTGCCGTTTATTTATCCGTTATGTTTCCACGCGGTTAAATGCGTATGTTCACATACAAATCTCTTTGTGGTTTTCCACTATGTGCTTATATAACCGTGAATCTCGAGAGATTTGGTTTACCCGCTTCCAACCCCTGATGACTAAAATTAAAATATAATGATGGGAACACTTCACAAACTTCATTGGCTGAAGCTGATCTCGACTGCCGAGGAATCGGGACAACAAAAATGTCTAGTCATCAACATTCATAGATATTGTTTTCGTATGGTCACCTTCTTAATGTGGGAGCAGCAGTTTCCCTCTTTCAGCAGTTCACTGCCCGCTTGCTGACGGGCATCCTGAGCCTTCTGTATATTTCGTTGAAAGTATCACGGCTGGAATCGACCACAGGATGCTTCAAAATCCGATTATATTAAATAATAATTGTTAAGCTGTAATACCCTTTTGTGCCCAGCTATTAAATAATAATTGTTAAGCTGTAATACCCTTTTTGTGCCCAGCTGCCATGCCACCCGGAATAAGCATGAGGGGTGAGAAACTGGCGGACTAACAGAGTAAACATAGTGCTCACTGGAATACTTGGTTCACCGATTGGGCAGGGGAATTATGGATTTTGCTTGTCCAGTACCAAAATGTCGGATGAATCAGAGATAAAACCGTCCGCCATCCCTGTCTATATGTCACGTGACCGTTAACAGTCTGCTTGATCCACCCTACATCTGAAAAAGACCTTTCCCTGCAGTCACCGTAGGGTCAGTTCCAGAAGCACTGCACTGCCCACAACTGATGCCAAAATAATTTGATGGTAACATAAAATGTGGCTGATCTATTGGTTATCCAGTGGAAGTCGATAGGATGCAAAAGCTGTTCAACTTTGCGTTGCAGACAGGATCTGCACCCCCCTCGCTTTAATCGCATAACCCCTGCTATAGGCGTTTTATCCTCTGACTTGTTTTCGGGTAAGTCTGAAAAGGAAAATAGCACGCTTGATAACCGCCACTGGTAGGACGTGAATTCGGCTTGAAAAATTGAAGCTGCCACAGATCGTTCTATGACAGATTATTTGTATTCCTCATAGTCCCCTACCTACTGGATCGTCCGTCCCCAAAAAAGAATTTCCACATAAATCGCAAATCGACTGTAAGTATGAGTGATAGCTTTTGCCAATCAGTCCTTGGGGTAGTTGCTGCCAGTCGACTCGCAAACAATTAGCCACCGTTCGAGGAGATATCCTCAGTCCAACGACTGGCTACTTTTCTTCCGTTAGTGATGGATCCTTTGTAAACCAAATGGCTAACAACTAATAAACGCACTGTATTGGTCCTTGTCCTATAGATATGAATTCCGGTCACTGCGAAGCAAAAGTCGACAAGAACTTGAGGTGGTCAATCCCTGCTGACTGAGGGCTAACTAGCGAGATCCTTACTACTTGTCGATTCCTTTGATATTTAGGCAGTCTTGTGGTGCTACCAAGAGCATTGTGACATTGTGGCATTTTTGCGTCGGGCATCCTGATGTTGAAACAATTAAAGTATTGGTGTGATGCTTTAGGTTAGACACCCACAACACCGCACCCAGCACCAGTTATGATCACTAGTCATGGATTTTGTTCGATTGTGTTCCGGTCACATGAACCTAGTAGCTATGGTCACGCACACAAAACGGACGAATATGGGTCAGGTTGTCCCCAAACCAGTAAACACGTGACCATATGGATACTCACACACATGTTCAGATACTCCGACTTGCCAGATATAGTGTAGTGGTAGAATATAACGTTGACAAAACACCAGTACTGTGGCTACGTAGTGAACTCTATGGAGAGCGAAAAAGGGGCCCGAAGGGTTTTCAGCAACCTTACGAGTAGTATGTTCGTACACAAAGCACAGTTTAACCCCAAAGCATTTGGGAAATTATGTCGTGGAAATGGATGCTATCAACACAGAATGCTATCCTCAGTCAGCTCAGCTACACCGAAGCTGTGGGCAACATTCCTCTCCAGTTTTATTCATGGTGGGGCTGGCAGGCAATTTGTGACTGCACAGCAATGAGATCTCCCTCCAACAATGGCGACATTCCTTTGACGATGCTGACAAGGATGGCGTTGATGATGGTAACGATGACGGTGTTGGTGACAAGTCCGACGGTGGTGGTGATGGTCATGATTTCAAAGACTGTGTTGAAGATTATCACAGTGTCAATGTTCATCACGATGGCGAAGATGATGTTGATGCCAAGAGTGATGTGACTGATGATAAAAATGAGAATATTTGTGATGACGATGATGGTCACCAACAAGGGGGACTTGAAAACGATTGAAGCTCACATCGCGTTCCAAACGCAACCATTTTAAGATTAAACATTTTAGTTGAGACCGTTATATTTTTGGGATTTGCTTGGGTCCAAACATGCGCACGCTCCACTACTGCACCGAGTAATTCAGGCTTGGTGTCTTTCATTTTTGGCCTTTAAAAGCTGTCTAACTGGTAGCTCATGTTAGCGTAAACCAGTTTAGCCCACAATCTGCCTTCTTTACCAGTTGGTTGAAAAACCTGGTGTTCATCAAGAAATTAATGGCAAAAGGGAGCAAAAACGGATGATAGGTAACCGAGTTAGGAAAGTTGGAGTGTTACTGACTGTATTTCACCAATATGGCTAAACAATCCAGCCAGAGAAATCAAACCAAATTAACTTACTTAGATTGAAACGGATGACCAACGTATTGTCTCTATTTCGTTTGTACTTTTCTGGGAAGTTAAAGACGACTGACTACCACTGTTTCACATTCCTCATCTTCACCGTCGATACCCTTGGGACCGATCGCACTTTTGTTTGTAGATTGAAATTTTTCATCATAATAAGCAACCGTTTTTACCTGCAATTTCGACTAGTTCAATTATTCAGTAGCACAAGTGAGTGAATTGAGCTGAACTGGACTTATCTAGCTAAAAATTCTGTTTGTAAATGTTCGTCAGTTCTTGCCGTCACTTGTTCGTTGCTCGAACTGCACTTTTTGCGGGCTCTGGCTGGTCCCCAATCAGTAATGGAATGAGACAAAGTGTGTTGTTCTTGGCTTCCTTTTGCTGATCTGAACGCGAGTTTTTTTCTGTCACGCTAGTGTGGTAACACAAGATAGAGACGGCTCCAGAGCTCCCGATGCCTCACAACGGTTCACTGAGGTCTGCTTTCCAAAATTCGGTCTTGTAGTTCAGGTCCGGCACTCCCTTTGTTGCGGACCCTCATCGCAACCACTCTCATCATAACTGTATTTATAATCAACTGAAACGTTAGTGCAATACTCAGTGACAAAACATCAGTCAGTGTGGTAATGTTCAATAATGGAGAGGACCACTGGTGACCTCATGTCATCAAACCCTCTGTTGTCGCCCACCCGCTGTCAGACCATCACCCCCACCCCGTGGTTCTTGGTGAAAACTGCGTCCGTATCCTTGTGGTGACCGCAATTCACCTGAAACTACTAATCGTTGTAGACTTCCCATTGTTCGTAAGAATCGGTTCGCTGATGTTCCGTTCCAGTTGATGGTCACTATGCAACCCATGAGAGAAATGAACTCCGGGAACCGGTCTCTTCGCCCACCTCCAAAATCGGCTAGTCAGAAATTTTCAGGGCACACCTAATACGCTGATTTTCGGTAGACATCCGATGCTAGGAATTCTATCCTTGCTTTAGCTGTCTTGTCAACAGACAGCTAGAAAACGGTCGGAAGTTGCAATTTGTTACTCCCTACCATTATGCGCATAGATTCACACCTGTGTAGTGCGATTAGGATGATCACGTAAATTGCACGGACTTAACGTCCAGACAGCTGAAATATCCTGAATTTCAGTCTGCCATGGTAAGCTTCAAGCGTCCGATGGCAGTTCAGGTCGGTAACAAAAGAGTTCAGTTACCTGGTCGAAGCTTTCTGGATGTTTACCTGACTTCAGAAGGACTGTTTACAACTGCTAACTATTCAGGCGAGCGTTGACCAAACCAAAACCTGAGAACTCTTGCCAAGATATGCGAACACAAGCAAAGTGTTCGGGTCATACTAGAGTCACTTACAAGGTCAGCCGTATGTTGCATCGTTCTTGCCGCTGTGGACTCTTTAGCAGGAATTATGGGACTCGCGAAGGAAGCGGACGCGTTACAGAGACTGGTGTCCAAACAGCGTCTCTAGTATACACCTATAAGCAAGATACTTCCCCATAGGGTTTGTTGGACTTTGAGATTGGTCGTCTTCTTTGAAGCCCAGCTCCCCAAAGACTCCCTCAGGTAGACTTCAGCATGCAGCGTGCCCCTATTTTAAGAGGTCCGTTGGGAATCACCGTAAGCGTTTGTGCCTTAGGTGTATGGTTCACTTAAAAAATGCAGGTTATTCTATAAGCACAAGTTTAACCCAATCGTATCTTGTGATTTTCATGGCATCGCACTTAAGACCAGGAGCAAGTTTCACTATCAAGTTCGGTCTCATCCGTCCGGCCCATCAATGGAGACCTTCCTAAGTGGAAAAAAGATTTCAAATACCTGAGCCTTTTTGCACTGTTATATTTGATCTTATGATGCCCAATTGGACTCTTTCGATATCTGAGTTTGACATTTTACGAAAAAGGAGTTTAGAAAAAGGAATAGATGTGGGAGAAATAATTAGCTTCATTTGCTCAAAATGTAGACCACAATGTACACTGCAGCTACCCATCAAGAACACTTCGCGAACTCTTCATTGAAGTAATTTGAATCACCTTGTTCTAAAACTCAAAGTACTTTGTCTCCATTTTGAAGCACTATGAGGTTTGCCTCACCCTACGGCCAGTAGTGCTGATTTTTCCCCAACACGTTTACAACACCACAGCAACCAGTCTCTAGCCTTTTTCAAATTCACACACCTTTCACACGTTTTCCTCAGTTTGGTAGAACAAGAGAAATCTGTTTATTTCCTTGATGTTTCGGAGTTACTGACCTTAGCGTAAATTCCCAAGACAGTTCTACGACAGTTTCTGATATCGTCTGGCTTTCTGCACCTCATGTTTACTCTTATTTGAAATTCGCAAAACCCCTTCTGAAGTGGATGTATTCCACCTCCTGTATCTATGTGCGAGCTTGCTGTTTTTTTCTTCAAAATGTCATTCAGATTTCTTGCGGATTGACAGCAGCTAACCGCATTGTCTAGTGTAAATTTGCTAGGCTAAAGGTTGGTCTGAGAATTTCTCAGATGCACACTGCAACTGGTGAGAAGGCTTTATCGTGCATTTTACCCTGTCAGCTTCAAGAAAGACACTTAGGTAACTTCAGCTAAAATTTGGCGTGGAAAGTTCATCTGCTCACCTTCTTTAGTGGAAGCTCTTTCTAGGCAAAGTAATAGATCTCGCTCTTCGGTAATCGAAAGTCCTCCAGCATATATCAAACAACCTTTTAAACAGAGATGGGAAATCAATCGATACAACACCTACCCGAGCTTCCAGGAATTTCCTGGCCTACAGTTCATAACGTTACGTGTGCCCTTCTGAATGCTCATCTGGTCGTTGCATGATGAATTGATGGTCTTCAGAAAAGGACTCAATCTAAGGAGAACCAGTGAGGTCGACAAATCTGACCCACACGGCGTAAGCAACGTTAATTTCGCCCGGTCACGTGAAGTCAGGTTCAACCCTCCCAGTGGGGTGCACGTGACTGTTGCGGTAGCGAATACGCCTTTTCTGCTTAGTGAGAAACACTGCGAAATTTCAGGTCAAGGTAATCAGTACTTGAGGGTTTTGTAAGCTTACAATTATGATAAAGCTATGTAGACATGCCAAAAATGGGAGCCTAATCCACATTTGTCGCGTCTGTCTTAGTTGCTTAGTCTATACACCTTGTTGCTATTCACTAAGCTTTGACTGGCTTCTGTGCACACTTATCGATTGAACAAATTGTTCGGTTCGGTCACACTCGACTCAGCATTCTACCTAAGGCCACATACCTGGCACCAGTGAAGAGGGTTGCCTGACAAAGTGACAAACGATGAGAGTTTTGCGGCTGCGTGCTTGTTGACCAAGAGCACATTGATTTAGTGGTGCTCAGGATTCGATTCGTTTTGGGTTGCCGAGCTCCTAAGCAAGGTTGTTCTGGTTCAGCACGTATATTTGTGATCTAGTTGGGTGACAGCGCCCAACTCCGAAACCGAATTCATATATCCTAGTCGCTGCAAACGTCCGCTTTATATATGATCCCATACAAATTTTATTGCCTTTATTCCCCGTCAAATTTTTGGGTCACATCTTGTGCACACAACTGTTGTTCCGTCAATGGTCTCCTGAGCAGTCGATAGTTTTCGATTCCATCACTGTTGTACTGGTTAACGTTGCCCACACTGCCATACGGAAGTTGGTCAGTCAAGAGCGCACATGTGACGAGATGTAGTACACCTGTGTGCACACACAGGTACACATCTGTGTGCATAGGAGGAGATTTACCTTGGACTCTGGTTCTTCTTGTTTGAGCGTCCTCTGGGCGAAGATTACGCACGCCAAATGGGTCAAAACTCTATTTCGGCATCATCATCAGCCACTGACGCTGCGTGTTATCCATAGAGAGACAAAAAATCTGCGTCAGTTCACTTTTCCCAGGCCCTGCAAACCCCTTCCAAAGTTTATATTCTGCGATGTAGAGGACAAGTGGGGTAGACGTTACCAGAACTCAGAATAACCAAAATGTCCACCAATCTATCCGTTTGACCTTGGTTTTAGAGTTCCAGCAAAGACTGGCCTTGCAAGAATCTTCCAACAGTGTACATGGACTGGAACAACGCCCAGCTTATCCATGTTCTTTCATGTATCCATCTCTTTTCACCGTTAACTTCCAAACGGATCCTTCCCAACCGTGGATTAACAACAAGGGATCAAACTCCGCTTGAACCGCATCTCCAATAATATTCGTCTTCTACTTTGAGCTCGCCAGTATCCAAATTTACTAACCCCCTTCTTGGTGTGTAGCTTGCCACGGCTTATTTCAATGCTCGCCGCAGGAGACCTGCTAATCAGAGCTTACTTCTGTCTCTCTGCCTCGATCTCTTTAATTTACCCAAGCTTTCCTACCGAGATTTGGTCCTTCGTTGCACACATGAGCACTCACTTCTTCCCCCAGAACGACCACCTTCTGTGTTCTGAAAATCCTACAAGCCCAGTTTTTCTAAAGCGTTTTTTGAATGTTTTCACAATTTTCAACTTACTGGTCGTGTTCTCTAACAAATGTCTGGTTCGTAAATGTTTTACCAATTTCTCAGACGGTCTGTCACCGAGGTTTCTCTCTCTGCCCTCATTCTTACACTTCACATGTCTCCCAAGTGTGTAAAAGTTTTACAAGAAGTCGCTTAATTTTTCCAATATCCCCTCCCCCGGTTAAATGAATATGGATGGCTTGACAGTATCTTTCTGGTGGAAAATCCAACAACCTACGTCTGAATGCTAGACAACAGGTCCGCGCAGCTGATGGTTTTTCACTGTTGTTCCACCGTTTTGCCACAAAGAAACATGTTTTGGTCTTTGACTCGATCGCCTGCTAATATCCTTCTGGCTTTTGGTAGGTAGATGTGTACCTTCAGGTTGAATTCATTGTCGACTGAAGTTATTCCGAGAAAAACTCGAGCACAAACTTTCTCCGTTCATTTTTTAACCACTTACTTCTTTGCTTCTTTATTTCTCAGCAAACCGAACACCAGCAAGACGTAGCCAGGTATGTTTATTTCTGTTATGCACTTCTCTTGTGTAATTTTATGCCCGGTGCGGCTCACTTGTCAAGTAAAGTAAATCAGTCCATTCACCGGAAGGAACAACATGTACCACGGTATAAAGTGATGATGCTAAAGCACCCTTACTTGAATTAGTGTGGGACTCGAGTTTGTCACGCATTCTGATAGGGTTGACAAGAAAAGAGGCGCACGCAGGATACCCTGAGCAGGCAGTCTGGCTGGTAAATGTGAATTTATTGAACGACTCAATGATGGGACGAAAGACTTCCGAAAGTGATCTTTGTGTAAAGTCATAAGTGGCGTCAAACGAGATATCATCACACGTGATTCAGCAACCTTCCATCACGCGGGTACCGTTTTTCGTACATTTCAGAGTCGAAGACTACAGAGTAACAGATCTGATCCGAGTCGACTCGGGCAATGGTCGAATAAGGGTGGGGGCAACAAGCGTGTTCTTATTCTGATAAAATCTTCACATAGTCGCGTTTGACAGGAATTTTAACGCCATTGTAACATTAACAGTAGATGAGGCGCAAACAATAACCTAGTGGAGGGGCAGAATACGTTCAGCTAACAATTTTATTCACTGAGGTTTTATCCGTGAATGTGTTTTAGACCAGTGATGGTGATAATGAGACTAGTGTATTTGTACTGGGCGGGAAAATTGAGGGAACTGACGCCTAAACAAAGCCTCGGTGTTGGTCTGCAAATAACGAGGGAATCGTTGAACTTTGCTTGTGAACTGTGTATGGTGGGCAAAGTGGCCTTCTGCTAGGATCCTTTTATTGCCTGCATCCTTAAAAAATATTTGGCAATTGTCTTGTGTCATCCCTCGTAGAGACCTCCGTGCAGTCGATTATTCGGAAACTTAAGACTCTATCACTCTTCTATAGAGGAAAATGTTGGTAGCTCAAGTAGCGTAGATGGTGGTCGTTGGCTTGTTCGCTGAGCTAGGCAATTTGGTTGCAAACATTTCATCACCAGTCGAGGTGACATTATCAGTGCGTTACTGGGGAGCGTAGTTGTGCGTAGCGGCGGG